ACACCATACACAAAAATAAAGTCAAAATGGATAAAAGGCTTAAATGTAAGTTGCGACACCATAAAAGTCCTAGAGGAGAAATAGGCAGGAAACTCTCAGATATTCCGCACAACAATATTTTCACCAATATGTCCCCTAGAGCAAGGGGCATAAAGGAAAGAATAAACAAATGGGACTTCATCAAAACAAAAAGCTTCTGCACAGCTAAAGAAAACATCAGGAAAAGGAAAAGGGAACCAAGCATATGGGAAACAACATTTGTCAATGATACCTTGGAGAAGGATTTGATCTCCAAAATATATAAAGAACTCATATGACTCCACTCCAGGAAGATAAACAATCCAATTAAAAAATGGGCAAAGGATCTGAGCAGACACTTTTCCAAGAAGGGCATATAGAGGGCCTAGAGACATATGAAAAGATGTTCAACATCACTAGCCCTCAGACAAATGCAAATTAAAACATCAATGAGATACCACTTCACCCTGTTCAGAATGGCCATTATAAACAAATCAACAAACAACCAGTGCTGGTGAGGTTTTGGAGAAAAGGGAACCTTAGTATACTGTTGGTGGGAATGCAGACCAGTTCAGCCCCTGTGGAAAACAATCGGAGTTTCCTCAAAAATCTAAAAATGGAACTGCCTTTTGACCCAGGAATTCCACTGCTGGGATTGTACCCTAAGAATCCTGAAACACCTATTCAAAAGAACCTATGCACCCCAATGTTTGTAGCAGCACAATTTACAGTAGTCAAGTGCTGGAAGCAACCTAACTGCCCGTCAATAAATGAGTGGATCCAAAAACTATGGTGGTCCATTTACACAATGAAATATTATGCAGCAGAAAGAAAGAGTTGCTACCATTCATGACAACATGGATGGAACTGGAAAGCATTATGCTAAACAAAATAAGCCAGGGGGTGAAAGACAAATACCATATGATTTCTCCTATAAGTGGAACCTAATCAACAAAACAAACAAACAAGAAAACTATAACCAGCAACATTGAAAGAAGAACAGAGAGGAGGAGAAACGGAGATAACGGGGAAAGGAAGGGGAAGGGTCAAGCCAAGGAACATGTATAAAGGACCCACAGACAAAGCCAAAGTGGGGAAGGATTGAGGGTGAGGGGTAGTGAGGGTGCAAGTGGGTGGGGCAGGGGAAAGAGGTGGTGGGAAAATGGAGATAAATGTATTTGAACAATAATAAAATAATGAAAAGAAAGACATACTATAAAAAGGATGTCAGTGACATTTTTAAATATCTCAACAAGATAAACTTTTGATTGAACATAAGCAGAGAAGTAGTAAACTGATCATGTAAAATGTAGTAGATACATGATATAATTAAGACTATTTATATAAAAAATTGAAATTATACATACATTTGTGTTTGAAACATGAAGACCATAAAGGAAGACCTTGACATCTCACTAATAGGAGATGCAGAAATGGAGAACATGTGGAATGAAGGGCATGGTGTAGGTTAAATTATTGTCTGGCAAATACTCCCCTCACACTTCAAACCATTATGGTAGTAGTATAGGCCTCTATTCTATTATTCTTGGTTCTAGGTATATGATATTTTTGGCAATTGGAATATAGACAGATGTCACAGTTCCCAGCTTAGACATGGAAGTCATTGAGTATTTTCAATAGCTCCTCTGGGAGTTTCCATTTAGCCACAGGTAAAAAAACATGCACCCTGTAGCTGGCTGCTCTCAGAGCAATCAGAGGCACATGAAACTGCCCAAAACCAAACTCACGGCCTCAAGCCACATCTGGATCATTCAAATCTCAACTACTCTGCAGACCTACCATGAAAGAGCCTCTTCAGCTAATCTGCAAATGTGAAAGCATATTTATTGCTTGTATAAACTGATATAAGAAATATATGCTTATTGTTTCATGCCAGTTACTGGTATGTGTGCACATGTGTGTTTATGGTGAATTATTGTGAAAAGATACAACTAATACAGTGTAAAAACAACATTTGAAGGAAAAATAATTGAGAATTCTCCAAAACAAAACAGAAAATAAGCTCTTATATGAAAAATACATTCTGAATACAGTACAGAACTAATAACACAAACTCTACACTTAGACAAATTCAGTGCAACTGCAGAGTGGACTTTTTAAAAAACTTAGTTCATTGCAGAATTATTTACAATTGCCAAGGTATGGAAACAGCCCAAGTGTCCAGCAATAGATGAGTGTACGAAACAACTATGGTATATTTACACAATGGAACACAACTCAGCCATAAAAAAGACGAAAATTTTACTCTCTGCGACAGTGCAGATGGACCTGAAGAACATTATGCTAAGTGATATACGCCAGTAAAAGAAAGACAGATACCATATGGTTTCACTCATATGAGGACTCTAATGAAAAAAAATTGAACAACCAAGCAAAATAGAAATAAGCTCATAGATGGAGATCAGGATGACAGAGAAGGTGTGGAAGAGGTTAGGGGGTGGAAGTACTGAGTGAAAAAGAGAAAGGGCTCGTGGCCATGGACAACAGTGTGTTGATTGTAGGAGAAGGGGAGAGTAAGGAGACTAGATGGTAATGGAAAAAATATAATTCAAATTTTAAAAAACAAAAATAAAAAACTGAGAGTTGAGTATCTATAGTAATAAAAATAAGAATATTCATTCAATGAATAAAAAATAAATAAATAAAATAAGAAAAATACAATATATTTTTCCTGGAATGGAGGGAAAAGGTCTACACATGAATTAAAGAAATATTGTTATATTGAAATCACAGAATAAGATGATAGAAAAAAGTTCAAATATATGATTAATTCTAGAAAATGTTAATGGATTAAATCCATATTTTTAAAAAGTGTGTTTGTATGTAAAATTAGGAAAAATAATACAGCTAAATGATGCTTATAAGTAACTTCTAAAATGAATTATACAGTGAGTTGAAAATAAAGATATGCAAAATGAAATAACTTGTGAGTACTTATAAAAAAGCTGGTGCAGCAAAATTAATATTAGATCTATTAAAATCTAGATAAATATAAATAAATAAATAAAAAGCATTAGTGCTGATAAAGTAAGAGAAAAACAAAGACTATAACCTTTTTTTATGCACATAGCATCAAATATTAAAAATTGATAGAATTAGATGATGCAATCACACTAGAAATTGCTGGGTCAAGCAGTAACATTTGTTAGTATACAGACTATTTGTTTAACAAATTTAAGTAACACAATCTAGTGGACCAATATAATGATTGTATGCAATAAATAATAAATATTTATTATTCTCAAATATATAGAAAGCCATTGAGAGGATGTGACCACTGTCTGTCCCAGGACCTGGACCCAGGCCAGTATGGAGTTTGCTTTCTGCAAACCCCCTTTTAGGACTGTCTGATCAGAATTGATGATGATTCTGACATAAATCACCACCACTATCTTGCTTCCCGCTATGTGCTGGTTCTTGGAATAGGTTATTGTCTTAACCTGGTCAAGTATGTACAGTAATTTTCATACCTGATGACATTCACATACTAGTATCCATGACTATTCCCTTTGTCCCTACCCACTCCCCTTTACTAATTCTCTGGCACCTGCCAAGCAGTATGGGGATCTAGTTCATCTTGTAGCCACCAAAGACATGACTTGTACATAAGTTTTTCTTAATAACTTCTATTAATTATCAGACAATAGTGGCCAGTTTCTTTCTCAAAGAGGTTGAATTTTAGTCTCGAGACTTTTCCCTGGTCTGAGTGTACTAACAACCATTTGTGAAAGCTAATTCAAAAAATGAATTAAAATTACACATTTTCTTTTGACAATACAGTACAATTAATTTATAATCAACAATGAATTGATAGTTTAAAATTATACATTTGGAAAAATAGAAGCATCCTTAAATAATTCAAATGTTCAAGAAATGTCATAATGGCAGTTACAAAATAGTTTGAAATAAGTAACACTAAGAATAATCCTACTAAAAAGAAGAATAAAATCAAGTCAGAAAATAATGAAAGATACAACAAAGAATCAAAAGAAAGGACCAAATAGTTCTTAAACTAATTTAATAAAAAAAACTTCTTGCAAAACTAATCAAGAAAAAAAGAGAAGGCAGAAGTAAATAATATTGGCAACATATAGGGGCCATAACCAGGTAGAATAGACATTTAAAGATAGTTATAATGGCACACTAAAAGAAATGCTTTTAATAAGTTTAAACCTAGCTGACATTACTAGTTTTATAATAATGCTATGTTACCAAAATTGATTTAAGCTGGTTGGACCAATAGCCACCAAATAAATTGAAAGAGCAATTGATAATTCCCTCAACGTAAAGAGGAGCCACATTTGATCCACAGGTAAACTAAGTCTATGAAGTGGCCGAACAGTTTATACAAGGAATATTACTAAAATTGGAATAGAATATTACATTCCTATCAAAAAATAATATTGATATAATGTGAGAAAGGCACATAATTTTCCCCATATGCATGATTTTCAGGTCTTATATTATTCTCACTGGAATTTCTAACACATCATCCATCGAGTCCTATAGAATATGTCTCTTCCCACAAAGACTTCAATGTTTTACATCATTCATTGTTCTCTATGACCCTGTGACTCTGTCTTGTATCAATGTATTTGTGGGTATGCCCAATCCCCTCAGCTGACCCGAGGCCTGTCTGTTGTGCCCCATGTGGAGCACAGCATAGTGCTTTATTCCAGACTGTGTGATTATATCCAATGCGGAGAGTGTATGCGGCTATTGCCTCCTTTCCTATAGAAAGCAGCAGTCATAGCTGTGACCTTGCAGCGGGCAAGTGCAAAACAACATCTGGGCCAAACCCAACTCTGTTGCAGGCAGCCCCACTTGGCACGTTGATGTGAGCAAGAGCAGAAAGCCAAAGAGCTTACCCATGCTGCCTCTGGCTGGCTGTGTGCCCACCTTTCCTCTGTTCACTCAGAGCTCAGGTTTCAGCCTTCTAAATATAAGGTGTGCTCAGGGGTCCAAGACCACACTCAATGTCACCAGACAGTGTCTCCTGGCCTATTGGGGCAAAACAGTTTATTCTCAGCCACTACAAATTGATTGTTTCAAATTATTCATTTTCTGAGGAAACTTTAGAATCACTTTTATTTTAAAAGAACAAATTAAAGAGGTGAGTGATTATATCATGGTTATGATAAATATTTTTTCTCTGACCTTTAGGTTTGTTTCAGATGAAATAAGTTGTGGGCATTGTTTGTAGGTGGATACAAACCTTTTTTTCTTGCTTTTTCAAATAAATATATTCATTGGTTGCATTTTTGTTTATTATAGCATATTTGATTATAATTTTGTATGAACTTCCAATTCTTTTTATCAGATATATATCATATGGTATTGAATTATATTGCTTTTCAAAAAATTTTCATTTAGAAAAAAGTAAAAGGAAACTCCATGTTATTAATATCAACCTCTTTTCCCCAGACACTGTTTCTCAGACTGCTGTTCAGTCTTTCTGGTGCTTGTTCACAGCGAAAGCAATGGCATCCGTACCTTCTGTTGGTTGTCTTCTGGCCAAAAATCAGTATTATCGAAGTAAGTCCTATCATTGCTAGAGGTTATACCTATAGAGAATATGATCTGAAGTTATGTCTGTAGGGTATTAGTAACCTACATATTGTGTCCTAGTCAGAACTTAAGGAAGAAGATTGATGACTGTTCGTGATAGTGAAGCAAATAGGAATAGAAGTCATCAGAGTCCTCTCCAAATCAGTATTATCAAGGAAGGCTCATTTCTTTGTTTTAACTATGTTATATTGTATCTATGAAACCATTAATACTTATAAGTAAGTAAAAATCAGCTTATATTTCATAATTATATTTAATTTACTTTTCATTTAATAAGATACATTAAAAACTAATACTTTTATAAAAATAAAATATTATTCATTTCTTAGAAAAGCATGACTATGCTTCAGGGATTTTCTAATTTCCACATTGCTGCTATGGATAATTGGTTAACATCTTTTATGCCAGTTTTATTTTTATGCATGCATCTCTGAGTATTTATAGCTCAATAAAAAATGGTAGCTTCTTAAAGAAAATTAGTAAATTTCATTAAATAAAATAATTACATTAAAACCAAATGATCATTTGTTGAAAATATGCTATAAACATGTAAAGGAAACCCTCTAATTTTAAGATGCTTCCAACTCTGTGTTGGAAACATCTATTAATATTCTTTTTATAACAAGGGTTAAGCTATGCCTGTTTACTTAGTGTTATTATATCCCCACAGAAGTTATTTTTATATTCTGATCTTTTACAAGGCTTATATGTTTCAACTACAATTATGATAGCACAAATAAACTGTGTATTTTTTAAAATAATACTTTTTGTCTAAATTTGATAGCTTTTGTCTGCTATTTAAATATATACACATATAATATTTCTAATGCAATAAAATAACATTGGTTATTTACTTCCTAAAGTTTTTAATTTGACAATACTTATAACATTTTAAACTCTCTATCTATATCCGTGGAGAGAGAGAGAGAAGAGAGAGAATGTCCGCCATGGAAAGGAATATACTATATTAGAAAAAAATGAAACATGCTTTATTATTCCAGAAGTTTTTTTAATTGATTTATTATTGAATTTTCCATTCATAAATGCATGAGCTAGAAATAAATAATTTGAAGCTATACTACTTGAGAGTTTAGAGATAAACAATATGTATGTGTTTGCTTGTTATGTATTTGTTCACTTATTATTGCTTCTTTTGTAGAGGCCAGTATTTCTTCAGTTAGCTCTGACACTGTTAATTTCACAGAGGAAGACAAACCCCAGCAAGGTATTTAGTTTATTTCTTATCAGTATCACTCTCATTGCCTTTCTTTGTTTTCTAATCTCTCAAATGTGTTATGTAAGGAAGTAATACACATTTTATTTGATAGGATTACCTGAAGTGGCAGAATCCAACTGGTGGTTTAAATCCTTTTTTTATTCTGAACCTGTACTTTCAAATGTGATAAGAAAAGATCTGTCTGCTAGTGGGTAAGTTTCAGCCTTTCTTGTGAAAGATATTTCTTTCTTAGTGAATGAAACAATGCATGTAGTGATGATTAACCAATGAAGATAAAATTGTTTTTTTGAGGATGGTGAAAGTTTTGATATAAAGCATACTAGTAGGGGTGGAGAGGGAGAAAACTATAGCTCCCCATTCTAGTTAAACATCATTTAGATCATGAGCACTTTGTCTCATTCTCCTGAAGAATGATTGAAAAATCATATGCCAATTTTTACTGTTCTTTAGGGGAGATAGATTGGGAATCAGAGGCAAGGTTCTAAATGTGTTTTTTTTTTAATTACTTCAGGAAACCCTTATATAGTTGCTATCCCTAATAACCTAGATTAGTCCCACTGCTAGTTTTTTTAAAAGTACTTTTGTTTTTTACACAATGGCTGATACTAACACTGATGACTAGTCACTAAATGGAATTAAAAGAATGAATAATGATGGAACTTGTAGGCTATACTGTGAAAACATAAGGTTTTGATTAATTTTCTAATATAATAAATTTAAAACGGAATCAATTAAATATTAATACCTTTTAAAACCAAAAACAGACAAGTTTTTGAAAAAATACATTTTTTTTTTACTTTCTTTATCAAGCATATTGATTTGAATTACCTAGGTGTTTTATTTATTTTCCACTTTGACTATAAAGACAACCTAACTTACAGATAAGCATTTCTCAGTTAATCATTTTGTATTGCAATTCAGTGAACATGGTTGTAACAACTGTCTATTTTATACAGCACTAATTGTTGACTCTGACAATCCAAGTGACTCTACCTCCTGAGGTGCTACAAATTTGAACAATACTTTCCAGCACTCAGGCTATTCTGGATGACTCCTCTCCATTGTAAAAAGGAAAAAAACCTGCCGGGAATCTCAGCAGCCACCCCTAAAATCAGGCATTTTCTTCACTATTAAAACCATTACTATAAGTAGCAGCAGCTTCATGGAAAATGTTAGAAAAGCATGGTATTAGAAATATGTGTCCCTGTAAAGTAATGAATCTTCAAATGTAGTAGACTTTTCATTATTCATATTATTTTTTCAAAACAAATAAATTTTTTTTAATTTTCAAAAAATTCATTAGACTCTCTTTCTGTTTGTTGAATGATTTGTTGTACTATACCTTAAAGCCAAAGCATCTACACGTAACCATGGTTTAGCGATCATTGGATTTAAACACGTAGAAGAGCTGCAAAAAGATTTTTAATAATGAAAATTGGAAATAGCAAACATACCCATAAATGAATTACTATTAATTACATTACTGTACATTTAAACAACTGGTTATTGTGTAGATTTTAAAATTTATAGTCTTAACAATATTTAACAACACAGAAAATCATGATGATACAATGTTAAGTGAAAAAAGTATGGTAATCTATATATGGTATGATTTTAGTTGTTTTAAAGAGATATATATGCCTAAGATTGAAAGACAATATAACAAAATATTAACAGTGGCTATTTTTAGAGACGAAATTATGGGCAGTTTCCATTTTCTCCTTTATATTTTTCTGTATCTTCTCAAATTTTCTAATACTACCAGCTTTTCTGTATAACTAGAAAATATAAAACATATTTTAAAAGGGCACTGGATTAAATTTCCTGAATGTGAATAAATCCTACATTAGTTTCAGCATTTCCTACTTTCCTCAATACTGGGTAGATAATATTTAATGAGTTTCAACATAAAAGTTTCTATATAGTGCTTGCAAATATTTTTTTAATGTAAGATGATAAATATTAAGAAATTAGGGATGACATAGTCCCTTAGAGATAGATGAGCACTATGGTGTTTTGTGACTGATGTTGCATTAAACATCTTGCAGACTCAACACACATGATTATTATCCAACTGTCTTCTTATCCCACTATATAACCATAATAAAATATCAAGACTATTCTCAGCAATGAACACTACTATTCTTTCTAAGTAATAAATGCATTGCTTCAATCTTGTGACTTTTGTCACTTTGCAGTCAATGAAGGTGACTCAAATATCACTTTAGTTCAGTAGCACATCATTGTTTATATATATGATTACCTTTTCTGGTTGTTTGAATTTATAATTTTTATATATGTATAGAGGTTGGTTAAAGTTTTAGACTGTATATTTCATTTGGTTTTAGTCTAAAATTGCATTAATTTAAGACTGATTTTTCCTAAAATAACAGAAAAATATAAAACAAAATGGTAAGTTTTGGGATGATTTGTTTTTACTCTTAAGATTATCAACAAGTTCCTTTTTACATAAAGGCTTAGTATATGTGTGAACAGATTGTTTGTTTAGGTTATTTGCTAGATTTCCCAAAAGTGTCAAAATTGTTGCTTTTATGTTAGTTTAGAACAGTGTTGCTGTTGCTAAAAGTTATTGTTTAAAACAGTTGAACTTTACAAAGGTTTTTAAATCAAATATATTATCATAAGTATATATACTTATTAAGCATATTTAGATTTGTGAGGATAGATCAATTGATGATAATATAAGGAATCTTCCTGAAATATGCTAATGTGATTTTTTAGAAAATGATTTAAAAATTTAAAGTATTCCTGTGTGAAATTCCAGAGATTCTACAGAATTAAAATGACAAAAATACATAAAGAGAACAAAATATTTTCTAGGTAAATTCCAGTTAATTGATTCTAATGTAGTTTTCCTACAGTCTTCCTCTGAGAAACCTCCACTCTACTTAACTAAATTAGATTTTTCATTATAGGTTCTCATAGCCCATGTTTTTCTCCTTCCTAGTACTCATCACAATTATAATTCTGTGTTTGTTTGTCTAGCTACTTGTTTTCCCCACTGCACTATAAAATACACAAGGAAAAGTATCACATTTGCTCTAGCAACAGTTTTTATCCAGATTTGGACACATCAACAAGAATTTGTCAAATGAATGACAATGGTTGTTTGGCAAGAACCAGCCCCACCTTAAGAAGTGTTGCATTTCAGTAAAGAGTAAACACTAAATTAATAAAGAAAATATTTCTTCAAATAGTGATAAATGCTACAAAGCAAACAAAACAAGGTATTTTGTTGAAGAGTGATTGAGATAGGAAAGAGATTAAGGGAAGACTGCATTAAATGGTGTGGTTAGGAAAGGACTCATTGAGAAGACGACATGGGGACTGAGTTCTCTGAAAGAGGGGAAGCAGCCAATTTACTCTCAGCAGAAAAAATAACTAGTGCTGTTTACCGTGCTTGACCTAAGTTTGTCCAGTCTCCTGTTACACCATTTTAAAGTAACAGCTGCTTTGAAAGAATTTGGTATTTTCCACTTGGAGATCAAATTGTCTATAGTGTTTGGTTTGTTTACAACTAAACCTGGAAGGAGAAATGGTGTAGTTTGGGGTTATACGCTTTCTCCTAAAGTTCCTCAGGGTGATCTATGAATTGTCCCAAATCACACTGCATAGCAGGATGAATGTAAAGTAACCAGTCATGTTAGGAATGTCTTAGAGTCTTATGGGGCACAGCCTCATGCATGTTTCTAGTCCCTAAAACATTTTTTTAAACAAGGTAAGTAAGTGTTACTCTATTATTTTCCTTCTACCTTTCATATTGAGCGGTTAAATACATTTCCAATATTTGAAAGATTCTTTTCTAGTTTCTTTTTGAAAAATTGCCTTTTTTGGAACTATTTCATATCAAAGGACAAGAACAGGAGAGTGCTACACAGTTATTCTCCTTCCTCAATAGTTTACAGAAAGAATGTGATTCAGTTTTGGTGTCTGAAAATTTTCTCCTCTTAAAGTATAATTATTTGACTTTCCAAAGGTTGAGGGAGTGAAAGAATTGTGATGTGTTCCTAATATACTGTTTTAAACAACTTTTCTTTAAACTTTAAGTACATTTTGCCCTGGCTGGTGTGGCTCAGTGGATTGAGGCCCACCTGTGAACCAGGGCACAGATCTGGGTTGCGGCCACGGCTCCAGTTAGGGGCACGCAAGAAGCAACCACACACTGATGTCTCTCTCCCTCTCCTTCTCCCTCCCTTCCCCACTCTAGAAATAAATAAAATCTTAGAAAAAAAACTTCAAGTACATTTTAACTAAATTCATTATAAACAAATATGCACTTTATTAAGAAAAATGGTTTGTATTTTTCTTATAGCTTTATTCAAACAGAAGAGATATAAAAGTTTCACTTCATTTTTAATTACACATATTAAAATACACTTGCTTCCTCCAAAAATTTATTGAATCTTTCACTATAGTAATTGTTTGGTTAACTGAAATTGGATCAAGCAATCAGTCTATTGCAATGTGAGTTTCACAGATATTTCATCTTTTTTACATCTCTAGCAGAGGTTTTCAAATTAGTGAATGAATGGTTACTGGAGCTATGATTTGTATGTTAAACTCACTACAAAAGTTAGATTTTGAAATTGCTTTGCAAGGAAGAGTGAGAAACATTTTACTTTCAAATAAACTGTCTTAGAAAATATTTGTGAAATCTTCAAAAGCACATTTAAAGAACTATCCATATTTAAATTTAAAGCTAAATTTCACCATGAAAAGTGAAGACAGATAACCCCACAGAGTAAATTGATCATGTTACTTTGTTCTTTTTCCTCCCTTATGGATTTCATGTCTATCTTTATCTTTTTTTGTATGGGAACTGCCAGCGGGAACCCACTACCTGCTGCCCATAGGCAATAACTCTAGAGACAAGAGTCCAGTGGAAAGCGAAATGGAATTTTTATATATAGATATATAGATAGATATGGATGATATGGAGAGATGATATAAATATATAGATATAGATATACTGATATAGTGTAGATTACCTGATGCCCATCCCCGCCTGACCTCTGGAGGAACGAGCAGGCTGCTGGCGGGTGGCCACTGGAGCTGTTTCCCATGACTTCCTGCACCGGAGAGGAGCGCAGGCTTATTGCCCAGCATGCAACCTCCCAGGACCTGCTGGCCCTAAAATCCTCTCTCCACCCCACTGCCTTCTTCTTATCCATTTTGCTCTAGTACCTGCGGTGCCGCGAGTTAGGCCGGAAGCATTCAGGGAGGGGCGAGGTGCCTGGCTTTCCCCTGCTGAACTGGGGCTTAGGCCTTCTGGCTGGCACTGGCGTCGGCCACAGATAGGAAGCAGCCGCTTCAACTTCCCACCTTGGGGAGGGGTGCAGGGGCTTGTTGGGCCTGTGCCTCCCCGAGCCCATCACCATAGCCTCCTCCCTTTCCATCTTACTGGAGCTCGCTGTGCTCCAGGCCCACCCTCGGGCACTCAGGAGGGGGTCCTGGGAAATGCTCCAAGGCTGCCCAGGGCAAGTTCTGGAGCCCAGGAATCCCAGCCCCCGTGGGTCCGGAAGGTAGAGAGAATCTGAGAGAGAGGCATTCCTACACATTCTCTTTTTAAAGGCTCCCCCTGTTCCCAATCCCCGGTGCAGCAGAAGCAGATGGGAGGGTATGTGCCTCCCATTCAATCATCTTTTTGGGTTTGGGTACCTTTTTGTGTGTGTGTTATGCACAAGTTGTCCCACTTGCTAAGGTGATGCACATATGTGCCGTCTTTAGTGCTTAACCACCCTACCCATTTCTGGCAGGGGAGCTCCCCCCATTACAATCTCCCTCTTTAACACTCTGTTCACTTGTGATCTTACAAGGGCAGATGGACAAAGTTCTCCTTCTTCTGAAACTACTTCCTGCTGACCAAGGTGTGTAGTCCCGCTCTCCCCTGGTCCAGAGGTCCCTAAGAAAGGGAGTCTGGAGTGGAGGGGAGCCTTCATATGAGGGGAAAGGATCTTTCAAAATCCAGGTCAGCTGGTTGTCCCTGGATGATGAATCACAGCATGCATGATGTCCAAAAGATGGCATTACTGAACAAGTTGTCATCCTTGTTGTGTTCTAGATGTGACAAATTTGGCAAGAGGGTTAGAAAGCACAGTCAAAACTATAACAAAAGTAGGGACTAATTCTACAGTGCCTTGGATTAAGAAAATAATGGCTTCATTGGAGGAAGGTGTACAAGGCATGTCATGCCTGTCTGAAGACTTATGGCCTACTACATTCAACCTAAAGTAGGCTTTTGGAGATATCCTGAGAATCTCCCGTTTAACACTTC